TCCTCCTCTGTTGGCCATTCTGTAATAGAAAACAGTGAATAAACTAGCCTGGATAATGCATCAGCAAGAGTATTATCAGAACCATTTATATGTTCTAATGACACATCTATGCCTAAACCAGTAATGTAATCCGTGAAGGCTATCCATCTGGATCGTGATGGCTTATGATCCACTGTTTTATTAAAGAAACTGATTATAGCCTGGCAATCAGTCCTTAAGATGAGCTGCTGTTTGTCAAGATAGTAAATCTTGAATGACTCCAGAGAATTCATGCATGCATAAATTTCAGCATCAATGGTTGATTTAATTGGATTAAACTTCCCACTGGCGTATGCACAAATCTGTTCCGTTGATCGTGGGTCTTTAGCAGCTAATTTCCATTTACAGACTCCTCCCCATCCTTCCATGCATCCATCTGTTTCAAGAATGATGGAACACTGTGCCGGGGGAATGGATAGATCAGGCAACTTCTGGATCTTGGACTTGATTTTTCGGATCAGTTCCCAATCTTGGGCATTCAATCTCTTTTCTCCATTTGGGCTGACTTTTGAGTATAATGGGCTGAGCATGCGGCCCAAATCTTTGATGTATTGCCTTGCGTAATTGAGGAGGCCCAACCAAGAACGTAGGCCTTTAGTTTCCTTAAGCGTCTCCTCTGGGAATTGGGCCACTTTAGTCACAATGTGTGGCTGTAATTTTATCTTTCCTTCCCCAATTGTTGACCCAAGAAAATCCATTTGGGCCTTGGCAATCTTCATTTTTGTTGGGCTGAGGATGAGCCCATTCTTTCTGCAAATTTCTAACATGGACTTTATGTGTTTGACATGGGATTTCTCATCAGGAGAGAAAACCAGAATATCATCGATGTATACAGCAATATAATCCTCCGTGTCTTTGAAACATAAATCCATTTTTCTTTGAAAGACTGCTGGAGCATTCTTCAATCCAAACGGCATAACTAGCCATTCATATAGCCCAAGAGGTGTCCAGAAAGCAGTCCAATCAATTGAATCAGGATGCATTGCAACCTGATGAAACCCACTCTTTAAGTCGAACTTGGAATAAATACGGCTATGGCCTATTTTTGCCATTATGGTATTTATACCAGGTAGACTGTATTGATCCTTGTGTGTGTTATCATTTAGCTGTTGAAGAATCCCTTCAATTGACTTCAGCTGCTGTTCCTCTTTGTTCCACGGCTTGCTTTCAAGGAGAACCTGAGTTAAGGAACTAATTTCCCTTTCAAGTTTTTGTGTCTTTTCCCCAAGCTGCTGAATTGTGGATTCTAAGGATTGAATTTGGATTTGCTGGCTTCTAAATTCCTTTAGATTTATTTTGCTTGAAAGACAAACTCGATCGTAAATTACAGCAATATTATGAGCTAGTTCTTTAGTTGATGGCTTTTCAGTTAAGGCAAGATCAAGGTAGTTTAGGCGTGAAGTCCCAGATTTTTCATACCATTCTCTAATGTTTTGTTCCCATATATTTGTCATAGCATTCCTACTGGTCTGAGTAAGAATATATTAACTAGTCTGAGCTATCTAGATTACCAATTTACCAAAAGGAAGCGCTATAGACTATATTTAAATCTCAAGGTCCAAGTGGTCCTTACCAGTTAAATTTCTTGTTCACCACAGGGTTTCACTGGACTTACTCCTCTCTGCCAGATATAGGGCCTGCGTCTTTTACTTAAATCTTAACTTCAAGGATTACACTGCCTTTAGAGACTTAAATACAGAAATCATGCTATACCTTTTTATAATTTTGGTAAGTTTAATAGCCTTTGCCTTGGTTAATATACGATTACCTTTGCCCTGGCAAGATACTAATAACAAAGATATAGTTTAAAACATCAAATTAAGCATAATTAATCATTCAACAACAGAGGCCTTCACTACCCTGATTAGTGTTTACGCTATAATAGCCATATTAACTAGCTCTGATACCAGAGACAGGATCTACTAGTAAGAAAAGAACTAGATAGAAACTTACAGAAATTTATTACAGATAGCGGAAGCTTCTTCAATCTTTGATTACAAGACTCGAGACTCTATTTCAAGTGTCAAGTGTAGTTTTTGGAACTTGTCTTGATGTTTGAAACTATAAACTTAGAAACCTATTTATAGAGAAAATATCAAGGATGCATGCAATAATGCCGAGTGCACTGTTAGCCTCATCGACGCATTATTGGTGTCCTGATGATTCTCAATTGACACAACTTGTATACCAGGATATGACAGGTTCATAACTTTGGTTTGAGAATCATAAAGACACCAATAATGCGTCGATGAGGCTAACAGTGCACTCGGCATTATTGCATGCATCCTTGATATTTTCTCTATAAATAGGTTTCAAACTTAGAGTTTCAAGCATCAAGACAAGTTCCAAAAACTACACTTGACACTTGAAATAGAGTCTCGAGTCTTGTAATCAAAGATTGAAGAAGCTTCCGCTATCTGTAATAAATTTCTGTAAGTTTCTATCTAGTTCTTTTCTTACTAGTAGATCCTGTCTCTGGTATCAGAGCTAGTTAATATGGCTATTATAGCGTAAACACTAATCAGGGTAGTAAAGGCCTCTGTTGTTGAATGATTAATTATGCTTAATTTGATGTTTTAAACTATATCTTTGTTATTAGTATCTTGCCAGGGCAAAGGTAATCGTATATTAACCAAGGCAAAGGCTATTAAACTTACCAAAATTATAAAAAGGTATAGCATGATTTCTGTATTTAAGTCTCTAAAGGCAGTGTAATCCTTGAAGTTAAGATTTAAGTAAAAGACGCAGGCCCTATATCTGGCAGAGAGGAGTAAGTCCAGTGAAACCCTGTGGTGAACAAGAAATTTAACTGGTAAGGACCACTTGGACCTTGAGATTTAAATATAGTCTATAGCGCTTCCTTTTGGTAAATTGGTAATCTAGATAGCTCAGACTAGTTAATATATTCTTACTCAGACCAGTAGGAATGCTATGACAAATATATGGGAACAAAACATTAAGGAATGGTATGATAAATCAGGAACTTCACGCCTGAACTACCTTGATCTAGCCTCAACTGAAAAGCCATCAACTAAAGAACTAGCTCATAATATTGCTGTAATTTACGATCGAGTCTGTCTCTCAAGCAAAGTCAACTTGAAAGAATTTAGAAGCCAGCAAATTCAAATTCAGTCCTTGGAAAAATCAGTCCATCAGCTTGGTGAAAAGACAGAAAAACTTGAAAAAGGAATTAATTCCTTAACTCAGGTTCTCCTTGAAAGTAAGTCGTGGAACAAGGAAGAGCAACAGCTGAAATCGATAGAAGGGATTCTTCAACAGCTCAAGAGAGCACTTGTTGAATGAGTCAAAACGATCTGGTGTATCTTGAAGCTCTCAAAGCATCAGAAACCACAGAAGCACCAGGAATCGGCTTATCAACTTCCTCTGACAAGTTGTCCATACCATCAGGAGTAAAAACCCTGATACGGCAAAATAACACCATAATTGAACTTTGTTTAAGATTGTCTAAACAGGTTGAAGCACTTGAAGGACGAATTCGAGCTTTGGAAGCCTAGAAGTCTCCAGCACTTTCAACCGACGATCTTGTTGCAAAAATCGCAAAACTCTCACTCGGACCAAAGGAGAAGCCAAAGGAAGGAAAAGGACTTCTCAGAGTTCATAGGGATCCAAACAAGTTGCTACAAGACGAGCTTGACAAACTCAGGCTTAAGAATTCATAATGGCCTCAACATCCAGGACAAGGACGGTGACCTTGCCACGAGTTACTAACCAACCAAGGCCAACAACAGCAACACCTGGAGCACCATTATTTGAAGATCAGATCCGAGAGTATCGTCAGGACCAGCGACGAAATTATGTTTTGCAGAGGAGAGCAAGAAACGCACTTCAACGAATAAGGGGGCGTCCTTCAACATCAAACACCTTGGAGCAGCAGATCTCTCCAGAAGTGCAGTTACAATTATCTATGGCAGAGCGAGCAAATATAGCACCAGCTGAAGTGTTATACAGGACTAGACGAGATGATGCTCATCATCGAGTTTATGTTCATAGATCCGAAGAAGCCGTACTTTGCGTAGGAGAAACGCAAGTCGAGAGGCCTTTCATTCAAGAAGAAAGCTATGAAGAACTACGAAGGAGCCATATGCAGTACATCCACCTCGGAGTTGTTCAAATCCGACTTCAAGTTCTACATCGGATAGAACAAGGGAATCTTGCTGTTCTAGTTCTTCGGGACACAAGATGGACGGGAGATCAAGCAACCTTCGCATCTATGGAGGTTGACCTTACTAGAGGGATACAGATGGTCTACATAGTTCCTAATACTATGATGACTATTGGAGACTTTTACAATCATGTACAAATTGTAATTCAAACCCGGGGATATGAGAATTGGCAAGGAGGTGAAGCCAACCTATTGATCACTCGAGGATTAGTCGGCAGATTATCCAACACTCCCAACGTTGGATTTGCATATGAAATTCAAGGAGTAACTGAATTTCTAACATCTCGAGGAGTCAAAGCCATCCCAGGAGAACAAGTTCCCACTGATGTTTTACGAGGACGTAACTGGATCATCCGACCACCAGTTAGAAGGATACATCCTCAACAGCCAACAACTGCCGTCTCTCGAAATTTACCAGGAGGTAATTTCAGTCTGCGATTCGGAGATTATGTAGCCGCTCAACGTGCAGATCCAGTTCATTATGATTCCCATGATAATGAAATCATGCAATCTGACGATGATGCTCAGTCTATCCAAAATGAATCCCGCAATCAACAGGAGACACTGTTATTCTTTGAAGAGCAACCAAATGTCTTCAAAGAAACTCTTGAAGAAGCAAGCATGCGATATGCAGAGTTCCAAAGACGAACGGAAGGTGGTGAAAGGCGATCACCAGAAAGGCGAGAAAGGCGACCGTATTCAGAACGAAGAAAATGGAAGCCACGACCTCAACAAGAATTGCATCCACAAGGAACTTCTGAATTGCATCCATAACAACATCGACATCGGCAAAGAATGTTGCCTACACCAGAAACTGATACTGATGCTGAATCATCTTATCCTCCTCAAGAACAGTCACGGAAGCAAAAGAAGGACAAGAAAGGAAAACCACTTTGTCGAACTTGCTATCCTATGAGTGAATATGAAGGATTCGATGCCGTTCAATTCATCAAGCTGGTACCACATGCAACGAGACCAATTCGAGCAACTGATGGAGCCGTTGGTTATGATCTGACATCAATAGCCATGTATGTTATTCCAGCCTATGGAAGAACATTAATTTCTACTGGTCTAGCCATGGAAATACCCTGTGGGATGTATGGAAGAATTGCCCCAAGATCAGGGCTTGCCTTACTACATGGCATCGATGTTGGCGTAGGGGTAATTGACCCTGATTACAGAGGAGAAATTAAGGTCCTTCTCTTTAATCATAATCAGGAGGAATTTGAAGTTCGCGCCGGTGACAGAATTGCTCAGATCATCTTTGAGAAAGTTTCTTTACCAAGAATGGTGGAAAAAGATGCTCGCAATCTCTGTGATATTCGGAATGATGAAAGACATGATGCTCGTAACTGGAGGAGCACTGAAGGATTTGGCAGCACAGGGAAAGCTGCTTTACAATACAAAAATGATGATTCAGATGATTCTTTGGAATACCATGATCCTTTGGGATATCAACATGATGAAGAAAAATCTGACTCTACTCTTAACATAATCGCCATGATGGAGGAAGCAGACAGAGAAGCGGAAACTGAATATCCACAGATCGCAAAGATAAAGGTTGTCTTCTTCTTCGGCGAGACTGGCCTGGATTTCTTCCCACTAGCGTATGCACAAATCTGCTCCGTTGATCGTGGGTCTTTAGCAGCTAGTTTCCACTTGCAAATTCCTCCCCACCCTTCCATGCATCCATCTGTTTCAAGAATAATGGAGCGATACGGAAACGTATGTCACGATTCAAGTCACCAATGATACGTATCGAGTATGGTACGATTTTGACAGCACTAGGTTTGGCTCATTGCTGATACCACTGCTGTGGTTTGAAAGATGAGACTTGCCTTGCTCGTCAGAGTTAGTAACAGCGTTAATGTAGAAAACGACATTACCTTTTCACCCCTATTTGTCAAAAGCTAATTTTTGTTGGAAAATTAAAATTTTAATATTAGTCAAAATACCCTTTTGTCCAACCCCTCTTCTCCATCTACTCTTTTTTTTTTGAGAAGCAACAAAAGATATTTTACTCTTCTCTATCTACTTATTTCTGTTGCAAGTTCTCTCTCTCTCTCTCTTGTTCTTTCCAAACCAGAACCACATCTTCTTAACTGCCTGTGTGGTGACCACCTTACCTTGGATTCCACCATCTAAATCTCCATTGTGATCCTCATGGATCGACATTCTCTGCAAAATGAAGTGTCATTGAAGGTTTTGACTGAAAATCCCATGGTTGTTGCTTATTAGTAGCTTTGTCAGTAACCACAATCCAAAGTCAAAACATACTCTGGTTTCCGCTCTCTCTCCCCCTCCCTCTCTCCCTCCTTTGAAACCCCAAACACCACCACCATCCTTCATAATTATTTCCATTGCCATCATTGTCCTGAAACCCTCCTCTGCCATCATTCAACACTGTGCTAAGGTACCGGCACAGCAGTTCCACCATGATACCGAATTTATATTGACAAATCCCATTTTCATTACCATCATCATTAATCTGGTCGCGACCATGTCATCATTACGCGCTTATTTCACTAGTAGCACAAACTGCTGCTAGTAGAGCATGAATGCTGTTCTGATTATCCCTTAGGTCACTTATAATTACTCTTGTCAGTTTTGTTTTTCTCTTCATCCTCGAGTATGCCCTCGTTCACTGCCAAAGTAAGGTTTTTTTTTTTTTTTTTTTTTTTTTCTCCCCCCTAAGGTTTGAGTGAACTAATATTTCATAACATGAAAGCCATATTGACCCCAAGTTCTTAGACAGTAAATTCATGTCAAACTAAATAAATCATATTAGTTGACAACGAAAGGATAAGATATGAGTTATGAACGTAGTTACAAATTTTACTTCATCGCTGTAGAGACTGGCCTTACTTTCTGTTATAAAATTTTGGTTTGCTGTAGCATGTTTATAAATGGTTTGACTAACCAAACGCTAAATCAGATTAGTAATTACCAGATGGTCATTCCTGTCACATGGTCAGAGCTTTTATGTTCCTTCCAACATTTCTTGCTTCTGTTAAAAGTTACAAAAACAGAGTATTTCTTTTCTTTTTGGCATGTATTCTACATTGATTTTTGGTTTATGGAAATAGGAGGCCAAGTGAAGTTTACACCAACAATTATCTAATTTTTTTTTTTTTAACTGCTGCAACACTTCACAATAAATACATTTACCCTGATATTTCATGTCTGCCCTATTTCTATTTGAAATATGGTTTTTTTGTCTTCTTCTTTCCCTTTTGTTTTTGTTTTATTTTCTTGGACAGAGAACTCTGTCCTCTTTGGAGTTGCCTAGGGCTGTTGTTGCTAACGGGCTATCCTCATCAGTCTCAGTTGATGAGTGCCCCTCAATTGATAATTCAGAGAGGACTGATGGAGGTGCCTTTGATGGAAGTGCCAGTCATATACAAAACAATGGGAGGCGGAGGCAAAAGGTTCAGGATCCTGCTCGAGATCTTTCAATTCAAGTATTGGAGAAATTCTCTCGTGTGACTAGATTTTCTGGGAAAGTCATAGTGATATTTTTGGCACTAATGAGAGGAGGACACATAACCTGACTCCTCACGATTACCCTAGCAACGTGGCATCCATTATGTAGAAAAGGTTGCTGAACAAATTCCTGTAACCAAAGATCCTTTGGAGGTAACCTTTTGTTTCATTCACTTCTTTGTATATATTTGTATACATTAATTGTGATTTACATTAGGAAATTATTTTCGCATTAAATTTTTTCTCTTGGTATTTTCTTTTTTGAAATGTTACCATACTTAATACAAGATTGCCAGGGTACAATTTGCTAGATCATAGATATAAATGCTTAAGTATGAGTAAATTTTCTCATCTTTCTTTTTCTTTTGAACTATGACTGGGTGTAGATATTATGCTGTTTATGCACTTCAGCTGCATAATCTACTGGCTGGTGCTTTTGGTTTACATCTGTCCCAAATATTATTTGCAATAGGGTACAAACTATAGCATAGCCTTTTGCTGTTTGGACCATTAAAGTATATGTAGAGTATTTTCTTGCCTGCTAGTTTAGTTGCTCTTTGGAGTGACAGTATATCAGATTGGATTATTCTTCAAAAGAAATGTAGAGTGTCCCCAAAATATTGCCATATTATATATTGGATTCTGAAATTTGGTCTCAAGTAAAGTGGGACAAGAATATGAACTTTATTCTCTTGGTTCAACACTCAAATTTCATTATTTCAGTTTAAAAAATCTAAATTTCTATTCTAGGATTGTCTGATACAGACATCTATCCTTGTTAAACAGAAAACACTGTATTGGAAAAGAAATGATGAAGCAGAAGCTGCCACCAATGTGGGAACTTTTGAGCTAATCAATTTTAAGGAGGTACCAAAAGGAGCCTTTAGGTTTTGTTTATCTTTCTGGGTTTGTTCCCATTCAAATTTTTTTACCTTCTTCAAGTATGAGCATAAGGTAACAGTGTCTAGTTAGTTTCCTGCCATTGCTTTTCATAATCCTTCAACAAATATGCAGTCACTCGAATTCGGCCTTTGTTATTTAAGCAGGCAAATGATGGCAGTAATTCATTCTTTTCTCTGCTTAGAAGTGATGTGTTACACATGAGAATGTGTCCTATTATCATTCTAATTTCTTCATATATATCAAGTTTGATGAGCAACAAAAGGATTTGGAAAGAGTAGGGATGTCTGTCTGGTTATGAAATGTTTTTGATATACCAGAAAATGCTAATTCGTTAGTGATTTATGTTTTGATACACATGAGCTGCCTATACGACAATGGACTCAAGATTATAAAGAATTTCTTGAATCAATTATGACAGGAAATGATAAAATCAAGGACCCATTTATCAAGGTATAATTAAGTTTGATTTCTTGAACTGATTTCTTAGTACATTATTAAGTTGTAGTATGTGAGGTGTTTGGAGTCTCACGATAGATTTTAATGGTTGCAGGATTACAGAGAGCACAACGATGACACCACCGTACACTTTGAAGTTATTATGTCCGAGGAGAACTTGATCATGGCAAAGCAAGAGGGCTTGCTAAAGAAATTTAAACTCACCACAACTATCAGCACAAGCAACATGCATCTGTTCGACCCAAAAGGCGTGATTAAGAAATATGAAACCCCTGAACAGAGTATGATTGTACTATACACCAGTTCAGCTTAACCTCTAATCATGTATCAAATTTTCAGGTTATTTACAATTTAATTCTTTTGATTTGTAGTTCTTGAAGAATTCTTCCACGAATCAGAGGTCATCTGTCAAACTTAGGTATTTCCCCCCTTCTTCTTCTGATTCTACCATTGTGGTTGACCTCCCTAGGAGGGAAAGTGTAGAAAGGTGGGAGGCTTGTTTAGTGGGGCATTTTTTGGGTAGGAATCTGAATTTTAATTATGTCAAAAATTTTGCTTTCAATCTGTGGTAAAATAAGGGGTTAAGGCAGGTGCTATCTACCTCAAATGGGTTCATCTTTTTCATGTTTGATGTCATGGTGTTCTTATTCTCTCTCTCTCTCTCTCTCTCTCTCTCTCTCATTTCAACTTTCTAATTATGTTTTCTTGAATACTATTTGGATATTGGAAGCTAAATTTTATTTTGTTGTTATTGTTAGGTGTGAGGTTCACATCTTATCATGGGAATTTTATGCTTAGGTCCACTGATTTATTAGCGCTTCCAGCTGTAGACTGTGATAAAGCTTACGCAATGCAGATGGGTCTTGAAGAAACATTATTGACCACTCAGACTGTATATTTCCAAGATGCTTTGTTGTATCCTTTAGCTGATGCATAAGAAATTCAAGCATGCTTCTCTTGGCGTGTGGCAGATGCCTTTTGGAAATTTGCTTATTATAGAAACTTCTTGGTTTCATTTTCAATTTTTCATGCCTTCACAAAGCTAAAGAAATACTTGGTTATAATTTTTCTTATTGCTAAGCCATTTGCTCATGTAGGATGGTCATGACCACCCAATGCATAAGGTCCTTTTTAACCTTGATATCTGTACAGGACATCTTTTTTCTGCTGTTTGGGTTATTTTGACAATCATGACAAATGTCTTTCAGAGAGACCTCTCTGAATCAAAATTCATTACCCGACCATCAGCAAGAAAAGTGAAACATGTATTTGCTAATGATTTAACCCCTTTGCGGTTGAATATCTGGAAAGGAATTGTGTCCTCAACAAACTTGAGAGGAAGATAGAAGTATGAATTTAGCTTGTCATGCAATTATTGTTTAATGGTTTTCATAGATTCATTTTTCAATTTAGAAAGTGTGTATATTTATATATCTGCAACTTGCATTCGACGAAGTTGTATCATGTGGGCTTATTATTTTGTTTGTATGTCTAGGTTTTTAACATGGATGGAAGGAGTTCATTGATGCTATGTTTGCAAGTCAAAAAGCTCAATCCATCACACAAGTGGTTATGAATTTGCCAAATGACGCGCAGAGTATCTAGGTATGTAATTATTTGATAGAGCATAAATTGTCTTCTTCTTTCAGCAGTGAAGTTTTGTATTCTGAAATTAATATTGAGAGTTGCTCGTATAGCTTTCCATTTTACTGTGCTACCATTTAAATGCTACTATACTAGAGTGATATATTGTGAAGGATTTAGATGGTAATAATTACTTATTGAGTTCTATCCTTGGACTTAGAAATTGTTGTATTAAATTTTAAATAGACATATGATGTGATATAGTTTCAAGGTGGATAACGTTTCTTGTGAATTTATCATGGGACAGAAAGCCCTGGGAATAGCATTACAACATTAGGGTATAGGATTCTTATTCTGGCTAGCTGAGTAAGGTACTTTGCTATGGCCTACTTTGGCTCTGGTTAACTCCTTCATAATCACTTTGAAAAAAAGATTTTTGAGATGTGTTTATTGGAGACCTCTTATGAGGAAGTAAGATTATATTCAGTGAACAGTCTTCATTATGCATTTCTCTTAGGATTGTAAAAAGTTAAGTTCCATCAGCATGTGGCACTGGATTGCAACAGTTAAGATTCAAAGAAATCGCTATGATCAGTAAATTTAGTCATTCAAAATTATTACCTGAATGTCATATAGAAAAGAGTGGAGAAGGTGTTGGAGTTATACAAGGAATGGAGTAGATAATGGAAACCACAGAATATGTTGCGATTTTCAAAATTGCAGACACTAGCATTCAATTTGTTCTCTCTCTCAATATTTTGTCCAATTATTGCAGATGTATTCAGGGGAATATTTTAGAACAAAGCCCAAGTAGAGAGAAATTACCTTGCCAAAGATCCATGTTTATGGATTCTCAAAAAGCAACGTCAAATATGTAAGTTACTTGGATTTGAAAGATGGAAGTGATCCTGAATTTTGTTATATAATATTCCTTTGAAGTAACTACATAAGGAGAAACAAATAAACCATAAACAAAGAAAAAGAAAGAAAAGAAACGAAAAAATAGAGAAAACCATAAATAAGAGGAAGATTGTTTTCAATATTGTAGTAGTCTTCTATGTCTGTATATGCTTGTCAAGCTTGATTGTGTTTGCCATGACAATATTGAACCTTGCACTTTTCTCTGTGTAAAAAAAGGTTTCATTGTCCAATCTGTTAATACCCATTTCAATTTGTAATTAGCAGCTTATATTCTGAAATTGACAATTTAATTACCTGCAAATGAGTTAGAAATTTTGATTTGAACTTACGATTCTCTGAAATTTCTAATTTAATTACCCATTTCAAATATTTTCATTAAAAACAAGCCTAACATTATTTCTCATTTTCTTTGGTATAGATGGATGATGGATGATCTCGTGCACGAAGCTAAATTGTACAAGACTACTTGACAGTATAAGCATTTTTGGGAGATTAAATATTATTGGATGGATGTGTATGGATAACAAAATTAGTAGTTTATATTTGTTGATAGCTGCGCATGAATAACAAATAGTTATGTTTCAATTTGTTATGCTAGATGGATGTGACTTGTGAATGAAAACTTGAATAGTTGTATTGTGTCGAATGTTAATGAATTATGTATTGTGTCGAATGTTAATGATTCAGTTAATTTGAATGATGCTTTAAAATTATAGGTTATTATGGATTGAATGAATATTTAGGAATTACAGGTGTATTGTTTTTCTGCTTTGCGACCAATTTATTAGTCGCGACAAATAAATAATTTTTTTTCGCAAAAAATGACAATTGCCGACCAAGAGTTTTGGTCGCAAAAAAATCTTATTGCCGACCAAAACAGCTCTTGGTCGTGGAAACTCACTTTTGCCGACCAAAAGTTTTAGTCGCGAAAAGTAACAAATGGCGACCAAAACTTTTTTTAGTCGTGGAATGTCACAATTGGCGACCAAACTTTTTGGTCGCGGAATGTCACGATTGGCGACCAAAATTTTTTGGTCGCGGAATGTCACGATTGGCGACCAAAATATTTGGTCGTTGAATGTGATAATTGATGACCAAACTTTTTGGTCGGGAAATTTCACTTTTCGCGACCAAAGTTGTTTTAGCGACTAAATGAATTAGTCGCGGTAATGATATATTTTCGCGACCAAAAATTTGATCGGCAATCCGACTTTTCCCGGACCAATCAAAATTTTGGTCGCGAATTACTTTTGCCGACCTCAATTGGCGACCAAAGTAACGACCAAAAAAATTGGTCGCGGATAACTTTTACCGACCAAAAATGGGCTTTTAGCGACCAATTTTTTGGTCGGTAAAAGTGTTAATTCTTGTAGTGCGTGGTGGCTCTTTTCCTACTCTAGCTCGGACTTGAACAAATCTCTATACACTCATCTTTTTTCCAAAGGCCAAATAGAAAAGGGAAAAGTAACATTGAAGCTTTACTAACAGACTGACAAGGTCAAAAGAATGAGAGAAGGCTATAAACAAGTTTGGATTCAACAGTGACAACTCACAACTTAGACTTACTTTAAACTCATTTTGTATTTTAAGCAACGTTTGGTTGCAGGTTCAATCAACAAACTTCTTTTCCCTTTCTTGCCAAATCTTGGAAACCAAACAGGCCATAACCAAAAACAAAAAAAAAGTCATACAGATGTGGAGCTTGCCTTTAAACTTTTGCAGCAAGCATTATATATAGTGCATGTTAAAGAGAGCTTTAGGTTATAGCTTTTAGGCCAATTGGGTTGTGGAGCTGTTTTACTAATCCAAAGCTAAACCCTAAAAGTACAAGCCCTTTAGCACTCAACATCCCAGCAATATATTATTTTGGGTCCTCTCTTATCAGTTTTGTGGTATTAGGATGCAGATGTATATCCTCTGAGTGGTTTGGATTCCAAACCCTGTATTCGTGGATGGCTTGACCCGTTGAGAATGAAGTTTCACAACCATATTGGACAGGATCATTACAGGTGAGTTTCAATTGGGTGTGTTTCTTAAATTGTAACCCTAGGAAATTCTAAACATAAAGAATTTTTGTGAAATAACCTTGAATTCTTCAAATAGTTTAAGATACACAATTTCTTAAATTTTGCTGATGTTTTCCTACAAACGAGTTAATCAAATATCAAATGCTTTTCTTTTTTCTTTTTCTTTTTATCTGTTCTATTTCTATTAAAAAAAACTTATGGACTGCATTATACCCTCCAATAAGGTGTTGAGTGGTAGATAAAAACTAAATTGATGAAAATTAATATGAAAAAATATAATATATATATATATATTGTAAAATGATAAGAAAAATATATTTTTTTAATCTCTTTTTTACCAGACTTAAATTTTTAGTTTTTGCTGGAAAAAAAATATTTTTGAAATCTTAATCAAACAGTTCATCACCTCAATGAAAAGAGAGGGGGAAAAAAATATTGATAGAATGAAAGAAAAAACATCCTTGATCATCACTTGATTGCGTTTGGGTGTGATGGGTCTTAAGTGTTTTTGCGAAGGGCCCAATATTATTTTTGTTTTCTTTTGCGTCATGATGGGTCTTACTAGTTTATTTAGCCGTCTACAGTCAGTCCCAATGTCCCATAGACCAGACTAATAAGGGTCCATTTTGGGAACAAGTTTAAAAGTAAAAGTCATTTAATCCATTTGGATCGGCATTATTATTTATATAAAATAGTCATAAAAGTTTTAAAGTTAAAAAAATTAATTTTAACCAACTTTTCAAATCATCACTCCCTGCTCTAACTTTTCAATGATATTTATTATTATAAAAATATGGTTAAAAGTACAATTCAACAATTTATACTTCATACACAATATCTATATAATAAAGAATGATGGCTTTTGAATTTGTCCTATACACATTGGTCCTACTTGGATAATTGGATGGCTCAGATCTATTATTATAAAACAACGGCTGAATATATTTTCAAAAATATCCTACATGTACATTTTCTATTTTTCCGCTTCTCTCTCTTACCTTTTCTTTTTCTCACCCGTTATTCTATGATCTCATGATCTCACCTTTATCTATTCTTTTCTTTTTTATTTTTTCCCGTTTTTATTTTTCTCTCTATTGTTTATTTTTTTATTTTTTCTTTTGTTCAATATATTTTACAATATTTCTATATAATGTTTGTATGCCCGTAATACACTAAGACATTACGGCATACATACAATTTCCATATCTATATAATACGACACAAGGATTTTTGAAAATGTCTCAAAATGTATCTCTCATATGTA